CAAATTTTACACTGAAAAGTAAATATCTGATATCTGTTGTCTTATACTTTTTGAAAACTCCAAATACTAGATAATGTATTATAATTTATGTCTAAAGAGTTGTTTCAATATTTAATATTCATAGTAAATATCTGATATCTGTGGTCTGCTGATGTCTATAAAAGATACATGAAGGTAAATATCTGGTTTCTTTCTGAAAAATCAGATATCAGCAGTCAGATATTTAGTAGAAATTGGTACCAATTTGAGATTTGCCATGACCTCACCCACCCACACTCACTCACACACCCAAACCCACACCCACCCACACCCTCGCCCTCACCTATACCCACACCAACACTCACACCCACACTCACATCTACCCACCCACACCCACACCCACACCCACACCCACCCATCCATCCACCACCCACACCCACACCCACACCCTAGTTTTGAAGAAGAAAGTATAGATGAAAATGGTTTTGAAGAAGATGATCATGCAGAGGATGGCGATGTAGAAGATTGTCTTGATCAAGATGTTGCAGAATTGAATGAAAATGTTTATGATTATTATTCATCTGATGATGATTCACAACCAACATCTAGCTTTGAAAAACTAAAAGCAACATCATACTCAGGTGCTTACTAAAGTATATGTATTCTAAAAAAAATTCTTGGTATAGTGATTATGCAATACATTTTATATTGTATAGTTTATATATATATATTTGCTGATAATAGGAATTTGTGCAAAATCATACAGAGATGTGAAGGGGTGTCATAAAATGTAAACTAGTCATCTATTTCTTTCAATTCTTTCTTATTATTCGTCAAACTATCGAACCTATTAATATATAACAACGTTATAAATGCATTATATAAACTTGTTTATTCGTTAAAAATACTTTGTTTGTATGATTGATCGTCGCTATAATTTCATCATGTAAAAATTTAAACTAGTGATAGAGTATCTAATTACTGAAGGCAACTATAGTTTTCGGAAGTTACTTGTCAGCATGTAAACGAAAGCACATAATATATATTATACTGCTCGTCAATTGCTTGTATTTAAAAACTTAAGTCTTGAAATCAATTAATATGACAGAAAAACTAACATAAGAATGGTTGTGAGTTCACAACGGTTCAACAGACTGAATTTTCTTCACTTCAATAATAATTTGTTCTATTTTAACATTCTAAGTGACGTTTTATTTGTATCATTTTAGGGCTTCGACTAACTGATTCTATTTCGACATCAAATGCACATAAATACTTTTCCATTAATGTTCATAATAAGAAGATGTTTTTACATAAGTCAACTGCTACTTGGTATCTACAAGATAGACAAACTCGTCTATCTTGTGATCGTGTTCAACGTGTTCAATTGAAAAACGTATAGATTAGATTTTTTAATGTTATTTTTGAATTTATATTTCATTTTCATATTCTGTGTTATTTTATACGGTATTTATTTTTATGTAACAATTAGATTAATATAGGTATTTTGGTATTAGTAATTTATTTAAACTTTAACACGTGTCTCTTCTTTGGAAAAATAAACTTAGCTTTTAGATTTATGAAGTAAAATGTACTTTATAAACTAGTTGTGAACATTCCACTTTCAGTTATTTGACTTTATATATATATCCTTTTGAAGCACGCATATCAGATTTATTTAACTTTAGAGTTTCAACTAAATTTCTCTATAACAAAGTATGATTTAAAAGCTTTCTTGCAATATTTAGGATCTAAACAGCAGTTAAAACATTCTAACTGATTGAAGTGACGATTGCAAAGTACATTACTATCCATGATTACTAGAATTAGCTTTCGAAGATAAGGCTTCTATAAAGATGATACAAATCTCTTTTATTTTAATAGTGGACTCACAGTCATGAAATAGGAAGACATAACTTCTTTTATATTGTTTTTGTGTGACAACTGTTATTAATTTTCCATTTGAAAAAAAATTGTATACTTACTATTTCTATAGCAGAAAATTTAGACTTGAATGACCGAGCGATAAAACAAAAAGTAAATATTTTTCATAAAAAATACGTTTCATTCAATCAGATTTTTATTTTAAAAAAAGTACGCATTTCTATTGATAAAGATTAGATCCTCATACTTCCGATTGATCAGTATTAACACTAACCATGCAAACTTAGTGACGATTAAAGAACTCAGAGAAATCAAAAATTATTGTACCTTTCCTTGAAATTTTCTAAAACAGGTAATAAAAAAATCTAGTTTCATATCAGCGATATATAATCAAAGCACAGTAAAATATGAATGAAGTACTGTTAAACTAGGGTAAAGGATAGATCAGTACAAGCAAGTATAAGGAAGTAGACTGAGAGTATAATGGGAGTACGAGAAGAGTATGATCGAAATATAAGAGAGTACAATGGAACTACAAAGAGAGTACGAGGCGACTACAAAGGAACTACAGAAGTACATAAAGTCTCGCTTTTCCCCTTGGAAATAGCGCAAGTTGAAACGGATGAACATAATAAATTCACTAAAATATATACTCGGTCCGGGTAAGCCCCAGTCGGACTGTACTGGTGCATGCCTAACGGTGGGTGTGGGGTATGAATAAAGGAAGGAAGTAAAATCCACACCCACCCACCCACCCACACCCACCCACCCACACCCACCCACCCACCCACACCCACCCACCCACCCACACCCATCCACCCACACCCACACCCACACCCACCCATCTCGAAGATCAATTTTTGGATAAATACTCCGTATGTTACATTTAAGTATATTGCATAATGCAGTAATTTCATACAATTCCGAAAATGTAGACTTTCTGCACATAGCTTGAATTGCAATATTAAACGTCCGACGCAATGTGAGTACGTATTTGAATAATAAGTCGCGTTCGTAATAAGTTCTATTACTGTTCGAACTAAAATAAATATCAAGAAGCAAGTTGTGTAGTAAAACAATTGAAAAAGATTTATATACCTCGTAATTCACTCCATGTTACTGCTGGATTATTCATTAGAAGAACAACGGAATGATATAAACAATTTCCATCGGCAATGACATCGGCTGGGACAAGATGATGTACATCAATAGTAGCCTATTCAAGATATTGCATGGCTATTACATCTAACATATGTTTTTTCGGATCGAAAACTTGATTTGGTCGGAATTCATATGGTATCATAATTGATTCAACTTTCAAAACTTTGTTTGTAAATAAATTAGTATTTTAAATAACTCACTTGCCGAATACTTTGTACGAGGGTAGCAATCTCGTCATAGGGCATTATACTTTGAGAACATTTGTCGAGACGCTGAAGGAATTGAGAAAATTTTTGACCACGACTCATTCGACTACATTGTGAACAACAGCTACTCCCGCATTGCATAGAGCAGAATACACACTGTGTGTTCATCTTCAATCTGTTTTAATAATTGTATATTATTATCTAGAATATTCCCTCGACTGTAGAGAGAGTTGTATGAATTAAATTAGTTTGTCTGTTTGTGGCAGGTCAAAGGTCAAAAAAACAAAAAAAACATCTACTTCCAAAATATAAATATACCAGTGCGGGTCTAACACAGCGAGTTTGGCTAAAATAGGTCAGAAGTGGGTGAAATGGGTCAAAAGTGGGTATTTTGGGCGAAATGGGTCAAAAGTGGGTATTTTGGGTGGAACTGGGTGAAATGGGTCAAAAGTTGGTATTTTGGGTGGAAGTGTGCGAAATGGGTCAGAAGTGGGTAAATGGGTTAAAGTGGATGGGTATGGGTGGAATGGCTCAAAGTGGGTAAATGAGCCACAAGTGGGTCAGAAGTCAGTAAATGGATCACTAGTGGGTGGGTGTGGGTGGAATTGGTCACAAGTCGGTGAAATGTGGTTTCTTGGTTGAATGGTGAATGTGGTTAAATGGGTTCGAATGTGATTGATTGCTCCTGGTCGGATCGTTGCTATAGCGTATGTATACGGCGATTCTACTTGGGGCGGGTTTGTGGTGCAGATGACGTGTGGGCGTTGGCCGTTAGATGGTGTTGCGGTTTCGACTGGCGGATTGACGTGATTCGTTTGGGTGATTTTGTGGAAGCTGTGTTTTCGGCTTTGTATATTCTTATTTACGGCCTCTTGGGTTTGGAATGTTAGTTAGTTTGTGCCAGGAAGTTTTGAGGCGGTTTCTTATAGAACGATGGGTTGGGCATGCATGAATATTGACTTTAATTCGTATGTATATATAGTGATGTGTTAAGCGTTGGCGGTTTCGCTTCAGGCGCCACCGTACGCATTCATTTACGCACACACACGCGCACTGAAATATACAGATGGTTGCCACCCAGGCTCATGCTTTGGCGCGCACCCATATCTAAATGTGCAGACACCCATAGTTACAGGTGGACCTAAATTGAAGTGCACGCGCCCACCGACAGTCATGGCCCATCCTGAACTCACAGTCAGACCGATGTCTATTTTGTGCAATGTGCATATTCAGGTGTATACGTTGGTTTACATACGCGTAGACCCGTCCGGTATACACCCGCGCGCACAGGTACTAACATTCACGCACAGCTTATGAACTCCCGAACAATTACCTCAGATCCAAAATGACGTCCAACTACGCAGATTTTGTACCACACCGGACCCCCCCCCCTCATTAATTGGTTGTATGCTCAGTTCCATTGTCAGACTTATACGCAGCCACAGCCAACCACTGTCAAATCCATACTCACATCAAAAACGACATCCTCCCATGTGAACCTATGCCTACAACCGCCCCCCCCCCCTTCCGTCCGAATTTGATGGACGGCAAGACGCATACTCTGACCGACACCTACATCCACCCACACGCATTCGCATCCACATTTATCTACACCCACTCGGTATATAGATCTAGATTGACATTCACCTACAAGAACCCAGACCCATCGTAACCTACAAGCGCTCACACCCACACGCACACGAACCGTAGCTAGCAGTCACACCCACCCTAAAGAGAAAGAATTGAATAAAACAAAAATTGCATTTAATAAAAAATTGCAGACAATAATTTGGAAAGAAACACAAATACGAAAGAAAAATGTTAACGCTGAGCAAGACTAATATGAGTCATGAGTTAGGAAAAGAAGTCAATTGAATATTTGTGAAATTGTGAGATAATTGAATATTATTATGAGTTCTGGGATGCTAGTTGTTCGGCTTGTTCTAGTGTTTTCCATGATGGGATGCTAATTTTAACTTTTGTTTTACGATTCTGTTTGAAACGGAAGTAAGCAATCTGGAAACTAACCAGTAGAAATATTATTCCTATCAATATAATGATAAAGGAAAGTGTTGAATGCGTTTGGAAACGTCCCCAAAAGAGGATTGTAGGAGGTTGAGTTGTGTTAGTAATAAAGTCGATTATAGTCTGGATATGAGATGGAATATAGAGTAACTTCTCCCATTTGATACTATTATTATGAATTAAAGAGTGTAAATCAATTAGTCTTTCATCAATGTGATTAATTGTTGTGTTTTGGTATATAACAATTTTTGATCCCAATTGGACTGGAAGTCCTGGCAAATAAAACAGATCGCACGATAAAGGCGTCGAGTCAGTGCTAGCAATTAATGCAATAGGCGGTAGAGTAATCGCATGGTTATCCATTACTTCATATTGATCTGAATTTGGAATTTTAGCTGAATGACACTTGGTACTAGAGTCACTAGAGACAGCCCAATAATGTCCTATTCTACGTACAAATACTGGTTCTGCATAAGGTTCAATTCGACATGCCGTTAGTGGTTTACCAGTTAAAATTTGGAAGATACATGTATGCTCAGGATCTTTTTGAATAGCTGGTGTTGTACGGCATGATGTCATTAACTCAAAATAGCAAGGTGCTGCTTCTTCTCGAGACCAGCGAACAAATTGACGAGAATCTGGATGAATTCCTATATAAGCAGGCATTTGAGCAAGTCTAACACGTTTATTTGCATAGTTAAAGGGAATTGGTATTGGTTCATAAACAAAAAATGGCTTTTCATCATAACTAGAGGCTGCAAAGAACGATGTAATTGCTAGTTGTCCGATTATAACACCAAAGGGTGACGCTGTTAATTGAGTTGTAGGAATAAAAGAAATTTCTTGTTCAACGAGTAGTCGGATTACTAAGTCCACTAATGATATTGAACTATTACTTTCTTCTAATGAAATATTTATTGCTTGTGTTATAAGTTCAATAGCTTTCGGCATGTCATTGTGGTGAATGAAGTCTAAATTAGGCTTACCTCTTAGAATATCTTCAATTGAGGTGTGTAAAATGTGACCTTCTACAGCATGCATAAATGCATCGAGTTTACTGTTAATTGAAGCTGAGAATTCGCCAATTTTTCGTATAGCTTCATCATGATTTCGTATTGTCTCCGAATGTTCATTGACAAGTTCCATTGTTCGACTAATAGCTTGTTGTGTATCGTTCAGTTCCATAGCTAGTTTTAGTTCACCTTGTGTAAGTTGTAGAATTTGAGCTTTGTGTGTGTATTCAGCTTGCTGAAGTGTTACATACGATTGTTTTACTATCTCCATTTGATTCTTTAAATTCGCATTTTGGTACACATTTACGGCGCCTAGGGCCAGAGCTGCGCCGCTCACACCAATAGAAATAATATCAGTGAGAAATCTTTTAGTTCTCATTCTTATTTCAATTTTTTCTGGGCGAGTTACATCACGATTAATAAAATTCATCACATTGGTAGTTAAATTACATCGTGCGATTTTTTTTAAACCAGAAATCGGAATCAAGTAGCACATATCTGCTACCATTGGAATGAGTGTCGAAAATGTGACAATTTTGTTTGCTGGTCTGTAATCTGATTTATATTGTAATATAAGTCCAGAAGTTGGATGAACAATATTCTGTCTTGCTATAATCAAATCATCTGATTTGGAGAGTTTTGTGAGAGTAATTGTTAAAATTAAAACAGTTGGCAAATTAATACGTGCCATTAGATTAATTGTTCTATTTTATACGACTTTAATCTTCTTTTATTTGGTAATATTCTTCTTCAAAAGGATTGTTCTTATAAATTTATAATATATATACCGTTCACTTGTTAATGTTCAATTGTTAAACACTGTCTCATAACTCGCGATATCCCTCATCTATATATACACACATACGGTCATTTCTTTTATTTCGTAATTCGTAAAAACCTTCATATATACACACAGATACGATTATTTCTTTTGTTTTATAACTCATAAAAATCTTCATATATACACATATATACGATCATTTCTTTTACGTAAAGTATATATCGTTCAATCGTTCATCTTTTTTTTTAATTCATAAAAACCTTCGTATATACACATATGTATAATCATTCTTTTACTTGAAGTACATATCGTTCAATCGCTGATCAATTTTTTTAATTCGTATAAATCTTCATATATACACATATATATGATCATTTCTTTTCACTCCAACTATACATCGTTCAATCGTTGATCAATTTTTTTAATTCATAAAATCCTTCACATATCCACATATATACGATCATATCTTTTAACTTGAAGCGCATATCATTCAATTGTTGATCTTTTTTTTTTATTACTTATAAAAACTTTCATTTATACATATACATACGTTCATTTTCTGAAGATGGAGCGTTTATTCTTTAAATGTGGGCCGTTGTTTTATTTTTGTTTATTATACGAAGCTGTGACGGAAGAGATCCTAAGAGTAAAAAATAGAAGAAGAAAAATTAAAATAAATTAAAAGAAGATTAAAAAATAATCAAGTTTAAAGGTAGAGATAGTTGCAAAAGGAAACTGCCAGACAAACATCTGCTCTTTTAATTTAGGCCTTTTGTTCATTTTTTAATTAGTGATCTTGTGAACTTTTGAAGTGCGCAATCTGTTGTCGTCCATCTATCTGCAAATCATGTAATTGTATAAAATCATTTCCAATGATACATAACCGAGATAAGAGAGGAACAACATAAACTGTGTGACAACGGGTAGAATTTGAAATAGTTATAGATAATGAGAGCACATATTGGATTTTTAGGTGAGACCTATTCGATAATTGAAGAGATAGAGAAGGTGGAGAAGGTCGGGCCTGTTCACGAAGATAATAAGGTAGTTTTGAAAAGAATCTTTTGTTAATGAGTGTTAATGATGATCCTGAATCAATGAGTAAAAGGATTGGTATTTCAGCCACTTTTCCTGAAACTATAAGAGGATTGAGCTTGAGAAAATTAACTGTACAAATTTGGGGTTTAATTCTAACGGATTGTTTTATGGATGAGCGTCGAGATTCCGTTCTCTCAACGCTCCGTGTGCGTTTTTTGAATGAGAATTTGATGTTGATGATTGATAATTATTTGCATTATTATTGGGACAAATTTTAGTATAATGTCCAAAAATTCCGCAGCTGCCACATTTGATAGGATTTGAGGTTTTTGACGAACTATGATCCACAGTAAATTGAGCGTTAGAATTTGCATTTTGCGACGATTCATCATCGTTCCATTGCTCTTTTGTATAATATTTGTTTCGTTGAGGAGAAGCATCTTGTTCATTCAATGAGTATTCTAAATTTGAGAATTGAGTTGATTTATGATGATTAATATCATTACCATTGCGATGTTTATGTGTATCTAAAGTATTGTCTTTAAATGAAATTTGCTTAAAATACTCTGTTACACGTTGTTCTTCATTACGAAGATATAAAATTTCTTCAACTTTTTGAGCCTTCAATATAATTTCATCTAGAGAAGCACCAGGGGATACACCCATCATAGTAAATAAATCGCTTCGCATTTTGCACAGTAAATGTTTTATGAAATCAGCTTCCGTTTCCTTTGGCTTTTGTTCGAACCAAATACTGCGTAAGCGAATCAAAAATTCACTTATAGTTTCATCTTCCCATTGTTTACATTGTAACCACTCTTGTTTGTGAGAAACAGTTCGTACATGGGGATTGAATTGAGAGAGAAATAACCTGACAAATTCTGCCCATATTTTTGGACGTTGATGAGTAGCTGTTAATTGACAATACCAATTTAATGCGGTACCTCGTAAAAATTCAGAAATATGAAAGAGTAAAGTAGTTTGATTCCATCCGTAAACTGCCTCTGTATATTCTTGAATACGAATTAGAAATTGATTCGGACTTTCTAAACATTTCCCTGAAAAAGTTGGTATTGTCGTCGGTGAAGGTATCATAATTGTTTGTGACCTTTGTGTCTGAATCTCATTTGTCAGAAAAGATGGTACAGATTTACTAGTGTTATTTAGATGGTCAGCAATATTTAACGCTGGTTGAATTGATGTTAAATAATTGCTTGCCGTTTTTGAAGCCTCATGAATATTTTCTGGTTCTAGTTGTTCTGTATTAGTTAAAGAATGTAATATTCGCATCATTTCATTACATTGTTGTTTGATTTCATCAATTTGTTGTTTATTTTCTTCTAAGGTTGATGTCGTTTTCATATGCATCTCACTATTTTGACTTTGTATATTAACGATCCGTGCTTCTATTTCTTCATGTTTTTGTGTAAAATTCTGTAACATTTGATTATACTGCTCTTCTAATTTCTTCACCCGCTCTGCATTGTTCACGCACATTTCGTGAATGCGTTGAACAGCTTTTTCTATTGAAAGTGTTTCACTTGGAGTCTTTTTAGGTGCCATAATTTTTGTATTAATTAATAATAAACTAAATTCAGAATCAACAAGAGACTGCCCAAATGTAAAAAAAAAAAAAAAAAAAAAAGAAGAAGAGGCACTTCTTCTTCTCTCTCTCTCTCTCTCTCTCTATATATATATATATATATATATCAGCGAGAGAAAGAAAAAAAATGAACGAGAGAAAGAGAAAAAAATACCGAGAAAAATATAACGAAGAGAATAAAAAAAAGAGAACGGAGAGAGTATATAAAGAAAGAGTATCACAATTAAAAAAGCGCATTAAGTAACTGATGTGCTCTTCGATACACACTGATTATAACCTGTTGTATTTGCCCATCCACCTCATACTTATTAGATATATCGTACGCAAAATATAAATTCAATTAGAATCGAATTACAGACGATATTTTAAAGAATAGAGATTGACCCATCACAACCCACATCACGCCACGAACAATAATGTACAAAGTAAACAACAATTGGATTGTATGTTGTATACTGATATGATTAAAAAAATGGACAGTACGTTGAATAAATTAAATCACTTTACAGGATCAGTAATTGCCTCACCGACCATGATTCAGAATAACGGAACAAAGGTAGAAGCATATGAAACAGGAATATTATTAACGTCAAGAGGACATACTTCCTCAGGACATACTTTTCAAATCACATCGTCTCTGGATCACTCGCACTTCTGTGTAAACAATTCTATTAAATCGCCGGTCCAATTACACGTACTTGAAACTCATCAGCGCATGAACATCAACACACGATGTATTTTTTGTAACATAAGTTGTGCAGGATACTGTTGTTCACAATGTAGCGAAATGAATCGTGGTCTAAAATTTAAGCGATTACGTCAACTTCTGGAAAAATGTTCGGAAAGCGTTATGTACTACGATGAAATTAATTTTGTTGTAAAAAAGATTCAACAGGTAAATTTTTTAATATAAAACGGTGATTCAATTATGGTGTGTAATATATTGTAGATTGAATCATTGTTGACAGCATTTCAATTTCATCCTATTCAAGTTTTCAATAAGAGAAAACATGTAGTGGATCTGATAGCTAAAAGCTATCTTGATAAAGCGGCTGATGATGTGCAACATCTGCTTCCAGTTGATGTCCCTGGTGATGGAAATTGTTTATATTATTCTATTCTTGTTTTGATGAATAATTCATCAATAACAACAGATGAATTGCGAGGTACAAGAATTCATTCTTCTTCTATGCTATTATATATAATTTATTTCAAATCAATTTTTAGTTCGAACAATTATTGAACTTACGGTAAATGAAAACTATTATCAGACTATGAATGCACAGCACGTCGGACCTATCGACATTGCTATCCAGTCTATTTGTAAAGATCATACATTTTCTGAATTATATGAAATAGCCGCATTATGCAACGTGCTTCAATGTAATATACGAAGTGTTTACCCAAAAATTGATTTTCAACACTTTATGGCCTCGTGGGATAGTATCTTTACACCTCTTCCATCTGTTATCGCTAATTACAGTATTGCAGTTTTGTGGTCACATGGCCTGAATGAAAATGATGTTCGAGCGATGAGTAATAGCACATGTAGTCCAAATCATTTTGTTCCACTTCTATCACCGAATAACCAAAATGAATCTGACGATTACAATAATTCAACATCATTTAATATAGTAAGTTACTCATTAGCAATTACAAAAATTCTACGAATTAACTTTTCTTTAGACTCCTCAAAAGAATACATTTAAGAATAGCACTGCAGTTCAAATAAGAATACCTGAATTTCAATCTTCTCCCAATAGACGACTAAGAACTGATGACACCATCGAGAATGGTCCCACTGAACTAATTGTATCGGGCTCGATACAAAATGGAAAAAATGATAAAGAAAAACAGCGTCAGATTCAACTTGAGAAGAAAAGACAAGACAGCCGATCCAGGCGTATGAGAGAAACGGAACAACAAACTCAGGATCGACTTGAGAAGGATAGAGAACGACATCAATTGATTCGTACGAATGAACCTGAAGAACAACATCAGACACGACTTGAACAACAAAGAAAATTAAGCAAAAATAATAGACTTAAAAAAAAAATTGAAAAACAATTAAATGAAAACATTGATATGGATCAAAATAATATTGGGACGCAGTTTTCCATTAACCAGTCTTGGCCTCAACCAATTGCTCGTGAGTTGAAAGAAGCCTGTTTACAACAGTTTTTAGAACAAATGTCCATGTCGGTACTGGCTGAAGTCACTTGCGCAGTTTGCAATATCCGTTCTCCAAAAAAAGACTCGAAAACGATACCAGTTCGACAAATTCCAAATATTCATCTACTTAAAGTTTCTGACGAGCTCAAAGATTTTATTAAACATTTGAACAAAGACACTCAAATCTCCGTCGACAATAGTACAGAAACGACAGAACGGACTGAAAGTATTAAATGTGTTTTTTGTAATTTCAAAATTTATATAATCTATAATTATTTTAGATCCTTTAACATTTAATTCGTCATCGTTTTATTGTGAAAACGATGTTATTTTATACAAAAGCGGTTTATTTCAACAGAATAAAGTGGACATGTGCAGACTTTGTCAAAAATGCCATAGTGCTCTTTTCAAGAAATCTATTCCTAAGTTTTCAACTGCCAATAATATGTGGTTAGGTGACATACCTATTGAATTACAAGGATTGACAATTCCAGAACAGAAATTAATATCACTTTATCGACATAACAGTTGCATAATAAAACTGCACTCGCCTTTTCACTCAGCTACTACTGCTCAGCCAGCATTGAATGGAAATTGCATTACTTTTCTTCAAAATGTACCAAATATTGTCGATAGTTTACCACTCGCACTTGATAATCTGTGTGATACATTGAAAGTGATATTTATTGGAGCTCGACCTCCCGATCGTATTCAACTAAGGAAAGTTCTCACAGTGCGTAAGAAAAAGATTATTGAAGCATTGCGATGGTTAAAAAAACATAATATACTTTATCAAAAAGTTAATATAAATCTTCAAAATATTAATCAATTACCAGAAGACGATGTGCCAGAATGTATTATGTCAACATTAGAGCAAAAAGTAGGCGATAAAGAAATTCCCTCTGAAAGAGCTGGTTATGTTCCAGATCCATTATCCAATCCAATAGACTTCACTGCTACAGACAGTATTCCTATTAGTAACAGGTGAGATCAATTAATTAATCTATTATTCTATAGATCTTTTTCTATTTAAGTGGTGTTCTCGATATAAATGGCACATCAGTTTCTTCCGAAGAAATTTCAACCTGCGTTTTAAACAGGATTAAGAATAACGGACGTGATGATGAGATAAATACCGAAAATGTTTATCTAATTCCTCATTCTTCAAGACCTGTCAACGAATATTTCAATCCGAAATTATTAGCAGGTCTGTATCCCACTTTATTCTGTTATGGACTTGGCGCACCTGAAGATCAATCACGCCCGGTTATAGTGAATCTGAGAGAGCACATTCGATATCTATTATCTTATAATGATCGTCGTTTCGAAACAAACCATAGTTTTATATTTATAGTTTTTAATCTATTGCAACGCCGTGATGCCTGTTTTCATGCTCAATTGATCGCAACAAAACCTTACTTTCGAACATCCGCTGATGAAATTCAATCATTGAGTAGCAAAGATATTGAAGTAGCTCTCGAAAACAGTTTGAAACGGATATATAGCACTGGATCAAACAAAACATTGAACAAACTTCTGCAACATATTAAAACTATTGGGGGTCGAATTATGGGTTCCGCGTATTCACGAATGGCTTTACGTACACAAATTCATGCGCTAATATATAATCAAGGACTACCTAGCATATTTCTTACTATAAATCCCGCTGATATTCACAGTCCAATAGCACTGTATTTTGCAGGTGTTAAAATTGATTTAGATAATATACAAAAAAGAACAACTTATGGACGCTTACAAAAGAGCTGAAACTATAGCATCACATCCGGTTGGTACTGCCAAATTTTTCCACGTATTGATCACGAATATCTTAGATACTATGATTATGCGTGGTGTACTCGGCCCAGTAAAAGCTTACTTTGGTACGGTTGAAAGTCAAGGACGAGGTTCTCTTCACTTACATCTTCTTATTTGGCTTGATCATGACATGACACCTGCTGATCTCAAAGAAAATATTCAAGATGACAATTTTCGTCAAAGATTAAAAGCATACTTAGAAGACATTATCAAAGAAGATCTCGATGACTTCAAGGAAAAACATGCGTCCGAAAATTCAAGCAGTATGGATTTTTTTCTTTTTAGCCTTCGTTCAATATCTCTCTTTGTTATAATATAGCACCAAGTTCATTCAATACTTCTCAAAAAACCTCACAGGACAATATCTACGCAACCTTACGCACTATCAATTTGACAAGCGATGGCCAAAACGAACCTCAGCCTGTTCTTCGAGTGACACCAAGAAAAGGGCAACAATCTCCAACAGTGCCGGGCTGCGCGTCAACTATTTCTTTTAGGTCGCCATCAGCGCCTGGTTGCGCGTCAACTATTTCTATTGGTTCTCCATCAGCATCGGGTTGTGCGTCAACTATTTCTTTTAGTTCCCCATCAGCACCGGGTTGCGCGTCAACTATTTCTATTGGTTCACAATCCCGACATCAGCCATTGCGAACACCAACTCGTGATCAATCAACATCGGGTATGATAGTGTGAATCTCTGAAAAGAAACAGAACATTTAATTGATATTTTAGATATGAATATTTCAAATGATAATAACTGTAATTTGTGTCCAGCTTGCTTATTTGCTCCAAATCCATCGTCGCCTAATTTTTCATCACGATTTCGAAGAGATGTAGTACAACTAGTTGAAACAGGCAATAAACATAAACATTGCGACACTTGCTATAAATATTGCAATAAGCATCGAGGCGATAAAAAAATATGCCGTCTGCGTATGCCACGTAAAGTAGTTGAAGATTCGACGATTGATCCAGAAACTGGTCAAATATCTATGCGACGATCGGATCCATGGATCAATAATTTTAACGAATATATTATATCAGCTTGTCGTTCAAATATGGATATTAAATTTATCTGGACTGGTGGTGATGCAAAAGCTCTCGTTTATTATATTACTGATTATGTGACAAAACAGAGTCTCTCTTTTCATGATACACTTTCTCTTGTACAGAAATGTATTACATCTAATATGAATCCGTCTGATTCAACGAATAAACAAAATGCAATTGAAAAATCGCGAAAACTCGTTTTACGGTGTTATAATGCACTTGCTTCTCAACAAGAGCTATCTGGAGTACAAGTTGCTTCTTATCTCATGAACTGGAATGACCATTACACAACACAAATTTCAGGGCCTTTATCTAATTCAAACTGAAAGATACTTACAAGCACAGTTGAATGAAATACGCTCAAAACAAAAATTGACAGTTTTGGCAGAAGGTGAGTGGTTTATAAAAACTATTACTTACTGTCTTTTTTTCATTTAGATATAACTCAGGAAGATGTATACGATGATGACGATGAAACTACTAATGATAAAGCTACTAATGATGAAAATAATGATGAAGAACATTTTCAAATTCAATCAACTGATCATGATAAAAACTACGTACTCGTTAACACAAGAATTGATTATCAATATCGTTCTGATGTTCTCAATGACATGTGTTTATATGACTTTGTTAGCACTGTATATAAGAAAAAGATGAATGCAACTGATTTAAAGTATTTATCAACGGATATAGAATCACAAGAAATAGATAAAAACCGGGTAGGTCGACCACCTAATAAACGTTATCCTTTTCAAAGCCAACATCCACAAGCAGAAACATATGTTTTGATGGAATACAGTGAACTTCATGTACCGATTCTCTATGGTCCGCAAATTCCTCGACAAAATCGTGATGATACTCGAGAACGATATTGTCGAGCTCTTCTTACACTTTTTGTACCCTGGCGCACCGTCAATGATCTTTGTGACCTCAATCAAACATGGGATGATGCTTATAAATCTCGTAAAGAACATATTGCCACTTCTTCATGGACGATTATACAGAATATTCAACTTTTACATGAATGTAAGAAGGATCGTGATGCACATCTACTTCAAGTTATTACTGAAGCTCAAACTGATAATGATGAAATTGATCCTGCTATTTTACCTTCGAATCAAAATTTTGATGATGATCACGATGTAGACGATAATGAAGGTTTATTAGAGCTGTTAAACAACTTAGATGAATATACAACTACAGCAATTAATGCTGGCAAAAAAACAACAGAAGATACATATATCCAAGAAACTATCGAAGCAGTCGAAAATGTTGGACGATTTAGTGATATAAACGGTAAGTTGTACCTTGTAATAATTAGTGATCTAAAATAGAAAATAAATATGGAGTTTTTTTTATAGTTCGTGATCAATCTTCTTCAAATGAGTTTATTGCTTCTACAAATCAACAACTTGTACCATTTGTTTCTGCGACACAAAATCTTGTTCTGCTAAACAAAAAATGGCAAGAACAATTGAAAACTGAAAGGGAACGAGTTAGGCGAACTTTAATTACAGGCAACTATGACACAGAAGATGATTCATTTGATTCAAATGTTGCAAAAGATGCTATTGTAACAGTGATGAATCCAAATAGTAATGATGATGATAACAATCTTGGAAATCGTGATTCAATTCTTCCAGTTATGTCAGTTACAAGTGACTTTCCCACGCAAAAAAGTATCGCTCGTGAATTTACATTAAATAGAGAACAACGTGCTGCATTCATGATCATTACAAGTCATCTTGATGGTGATAGTGACTGTCGTAAAGGTATTTTTCAATATGATCTATTAAAAATTAATATTTATCATGTTTCTAGGTGATAATAATGGTCAACTTATAATGTGCATACCTGGATGTGGTGGTACAGGAAAATCACAACTTATTCGTGCTCTTAGTAAATATTTCGTTGTCACCAAAAGAATGCAGATGATGCGTAAATTAGCACCTACTGGAATTGCAGCTGCTGAAATTGGTGGTATGACAATTCATTCATTTTTAGGTGAACAACGTAATTCTAGAACGCCACGAACAATCAAACCAGGTGATTTAAAACTTGAAAAAGAATGGCGACTAGTCGAATATTTGTTGATCGACGAAATGAGTATGGTTGGTTTACATCTGTTAGCAAAACTTAATCGAATCATTTGCTCTGCAAAACATGTCGATCCTAATATTCCATTTGGTGGCATAAACGTTATTTTCTTCGGTGACTATTTGCAGTACCGACCTATCTACGATGCACCATTACATACTGATTTTTCTTTACCATCGAGACAAAAATCAGATAAATTGCTCAGTGAAAAAGAACTACAGCAACGCGTTGCACGTTCTTTAATACTACAAATCAACTGTGTTGTAAAACTCACTGAGCAAATGCGAACGGAAGATCGTCGATATCTTCAGCTTCTCGATAACCTTCGTCATGGAAAATGTGATCGTGATGATTATGAGCTGCTGTTATCACGAGTTGTAGGTCAACCATCAGTGAAGTCTCTATCTGATTCACCGTGGGATAAAGTAAAACTTTCTTTTTGTTTTAAATATAATATCTATCTTTATTTTTTCAGGCGCCCATTCTCGTATTTCGAAACGCAGTACGGACAAAATTGAACAACAAGGCAGCAATTCATAAGGCAGCAGAGATAGGACAAGCGCTCATGGTTTGTATAGCTTAAGACAGTTGTAAAGGCAAACCAATTGAAGATCCAAGATTAGTTAAAAAATTATTAGAACAGTGTGATAGTAAAACAGAGCATTTACCTGGTCTTTTACCTTTGGTTCCTGGAATGCCTGTCATTTTAACACAAAATATTGCTATAGAATTGGGCCTTATTAATGGAATGAATGGAATCTTTCGACAACTTGTTTATGAAGAAGATTCTGTTTCAACAGACGTTGTTTCAGAAACATTTCCTAACAATACACAATATATACGTAAACCTTTATACGCCATAATTGAAATCGTCAGATCGAAGATTGAATGTAACTTCGAACAACTTCAATCAAATCTCGTTCCAATACCATTGATGGAACAAACATTTCGCATTAATTTAGCTGATATTCTACCAAAAGATAAGAAACCAAAATCAAATCACCAGACATTTTTATCGATTAAACGACGTGCATTACCAATTGTCCCTGCATATGCTATTACAACACATAAAAGTCAAGGTCAAACGTTAAATAAAGTTGTAATTGATTTAAAACTACCAAGTGGAACTGACGATCTTGCTGCAATTTATGTACCATTGTCACGTGTGAAATGTTCAAATGATGTAGCTATATTAAGATATTTCGATTACAAAGTTTTATCAATCAAACCAGGCAAATCTCAACTTGCTGAAATCGAAAGACTAGATAAAATATATGCAGCGACACAACTGCGTTTTGCTCAGTGGTTCTAACGTTCTTTCTCACTTTTATAAAATTTTGTATGCAACTGTTAATACTTACAATAATCCAAGCTTCTGATAAAAATATTTTATCCTGGATAATTTTACAGAAAGATTTAGTTTTGTTTTTCGAATAGTACGATTTAAGCAAAGAGATTTGAATTACCTACTCGTATAAAGTTGCTAGATCAATTCTTCCCACAATGGTGCATGCAAAAACAGACTGCTGCCTCCTACAGTCGAGGGTGAAGTGAGTCGATACGACGAACGTTACTTGTATATAATTGAAGAATATATAAAATCTGGTTTTGTGAAAAATTAAAAATAGATATAAATATTTAATGAAAAAACCTATATACGATCGAGATTCTTCTGCAGATAGCCAAAATAGAAGACAAAAAAGTTCTTAAATAATTATTCTATTTTATCTTATTTTTTATGACTGAAATATGTACTCGTATTCGAGTTATTTTCTAGAAAAATTGAGATTTCATCATCCTGAACAGAATTTTCGAACGGTATCTATAACAATAAAAGTTTATCTCGTAATCAAAGTCGATTTGGATTCTGTGGCTGGTAGTGGTGGATTGTACGAGTCAACATCTTCAGAGGGACCATATTCGATTAAAATCTATTAGTTTTAACAGACTTTGCAAAAATATTCGCTCGCTTGATACAATAACTATTGATGATTCAATCCTTCCAACCAACGATTAACATGAATCATATTGAGATAGAATTAGAGAATTATGTTGCGTATCAGTCATCGATCATCATAAACATAACTATTATTCCCCTTTGAAGAAAAATCGAGTAAGTTACACGGAATGTAATTAAGCGTATAAAACAATGAATAAAATCTCATTTATTATATTCAAGACATCAGTTATTATGTAAAAAATATCATTTAAAAGTTTGTGAATTGGTTATAAATATTCTTGACATTTTACTTGATTTGGCTATTATATCACTATCTGAAGAATGATATGCACAAAAAACAATTATTAACTGTTGAAAATAGCGGAACAACAACTACATATGAACAAGTTGAGGAATAGTTAAAGCAAATTGATGTGAAAGAAGAAAAAACCATTGAATTAGCTGTTGAGATTACACTTAAGTAAGTATCAGATATATACTTTTTTTAATAGTTAGAATTTTGGTATTTTCGAAAAAAGTTTCGTTACGGTACATTGATAAGTTAATCTCTAATATATGAAGCAAAAGTCAACTAGTTTTATAGGATAGTTGTTATACAAATATGGAGCGAACTAAAGCAAATCTCATCAGTAATAAAAAGGTTGACTAGAGAGAATTTTTTATACAATTGCGTTTGAGTGCAGTGTATAAGAGCTTTTGAGGGATATGTCAACTAGCTAATTATAAATTCGAAATTCATGATCACGACTTTATCTGAAAGATGACCGATGAATTGGTCTGTCGTCCACACGTACACTCTAAAGTTAATTTCAATTAATATTTTTGGTAAAGATTAAAAGATGATAAATATCGAATAATTATATTTTAGAATAATAAAACGATAAGATTGTCCTAGTTTTTGACCACGTGGTCGTAGTTTTACATCTGATCGATTACGTTATAAAGTATTTTTATTATTCAATAAACTTCGTTTACTTAATCGACGTCAATTTGAAAACAGTATATATTACTAGGTTTGTTTTTATTAATAAAATCTTTTTATTCAATTAGATATTTTTTTTCTTAATTAAACTCTTAATAGTTATCTTGTTCATATACTTGATATAATTCATGCATTATGTGGTTATTGTTCGGAATCAAATGTTGGTCTTGCACATTATACACCTTATAGTAATATATATTCAAATAGTTATATATTTTTATTTATATTTTATCTTATTTAGTTTCAACAAAAAGTGATACAAATTTACGACAAACATATTCAAATAATTTTGGTAATACACAACTTGGTGTTGGACCACAAGGTATTGATAGATTTATATTAAATATAATGTTTAAACCATTTATTACACGTCTTATAATGATGAAAAAATATTTAATGAGTTCAAAAAATGTTGCTTTATATGGTGAGTGTTGAGCTTTTTTAACATGTATTAAAGAAAATCATGATGGAATATTTCGTTTAGTGATTTTTTCATCATTACTTGATCCAGAGAAAAATCTTAAAATATTTCAACAACAGGAATTAAATGCAAAATTAAAATCTAAAGGAGCACATACATTTGCTCGACATGATGCTACGAGTAGAAGTGGAAAAGGCGTAAATCAAATAAAAAGAAAATTGTTCTATTTATTTCTCTAATTAAAAAATAGACTCTACTTAATCGCGATTCATCAGAAGATGCTGATTTTGATCGACATGGTAGTACTACACTGTAAAAAATAATAGTATAGTACAAAAGTCTTGTCTTTTCTTCAACATTGTATAAACCTTCGAAGGGTTTATAGACGTCGCATATACGAAAAAACCGTTGATGTGATCGTGGGTTTTTGAAGTGGGCCGTTCTTGAGATTATAAAGGGTATTTGTTCATCATATCTTTAGACCAACGTTCATTCAGATACGATACGAGGTAGAATGATCCACGGTTTTTAAGAATTCGTTTTCGCAAATACGACCCAGAGAATAATGCTGCACGGCTCTATCAACAAGTTTTTTTCAAAGACTATTGAGGGTATGGTAATCCACAGTTTCATCAAAATGGTTTTGCAAAGACAACCAAAGGTATAGTATTTCACGGCTACATCGAAAAGGTTTTTGCAAATACTATTATGGGAATAGTAATACACGGCTTCATCAGAAAAGTATTTCCAAATACCATTGAGAGAATAGTAATTCACGGTTTCATCGAAAGGGTTTTTGAAAATATAATCGAAGGTGCAGTAGTTCATGACCTCATCAGAAGGGTTTCTGAAAATACTTTCGAGGGAATAGTAACTCATGACTTCATCAAAAACGTTTTTGCAAATATGGTTGAGAAATCAATGATCCACGGTTCTACCACAGATGTTACTTTATCTTTTCTTCATGAATAAGGATAAAGTAAATATTTGTCTTTATTTTATTAAGAATGAAGATAATGTATGTTTCAAAAATGATGATAAAAAAATAAAGTAAATATTTATATTTATAAAATAAAAATAATTAAAAATTTGCTTTATTTTAAAAAATGAAGTTAAAATAAAGAATAAAGAAATTTTTTTCTTAAATATCTATTACTTTATCTTTTTCAAATAGGTCGTGAACTATTCTAAGAACATAGGCTAAAAAAGATTCTAAAGAGAAGCTTTTTTCATAAATCTTTTATGCTTCACATTCACTTGCTAGCATTATTTTGTATTTGAATGTGACTGGTGATAAGAGCAAACTACCATCAATATTATTTGTTTTTATATTAGCTATTTATCTGTTTACCGATGACTTGAAAATATTTGATTTATTCTGTATTTCATCTTTATTTTTAAAATAAAGATTATTTATATTCTTTATAGAATAAAAATAAAGATTTTTATAATTTTATTCTTTAGTATAAATAAAAAAAAAAAGAAAAATAAAGTAACACTCTTAGTTTTGACGGGAAGGTTTTTTATATAAAATTGATAATAGAATAATTTAAAATATTCGATTAAATGTATTATTCATCAAAAAAAAAGATTGAGAAACTACGTAGTATATACAAAAAACGATATTTTGTCGTTTGTATAATTTTTACATATTTGATAATAACACATAAACATTGGACACATTAAGTTTTCAAGAATGTTCACATTTTTACAAAGCGAATGGCTTTTGCTGTGAAAAAAAGACAGTTGATATTTTATAAATTATATTTCTCGTATACTGAAAATGTGAATTATTTATATAGATGAAGAGCACCATCTGTTGTATAAAATTATGAATAGACGAATGTCGTCATAAATATATATTCGAATACGACGGTATTATCCATTGGTGGAAAAGAAAGAAGTGAGGATAATACATTTATATAGATGAATATGGCTGTGTGTGAATAAAAGGTGGCAATTATTTTTTATCTAATTGAATACAAGAATTAACGCACTTTTTATACAAAAGTAGCTACAAAATTTATATCCTATTAAGTGTGAGTCGATTCTATATTGAAAAATAGAAATCTTAGTCGGTGCAAACATTTCTCAGGTGATCTTGCGTAGATTAGTACATTTGTGTACATCTATATAAAACATCTAACTTCGAATATGAATTTCTTATTTTTTTTTGTTTCATATCCATTTGAATATTTTTTCAGATTGTTATTCTTTTTATCAATATGAATTGGACGTGTGAACAAGTGATTAAATGGTGTAAATCTTTTATGAATGATGATGGAATTATATCACTTTTTGAAGGTTAGTAAATTTGTTTTCTCGTTATGTG